CAACTAATAACTATTTCTTAGCTAATGACAGTACTCGGTCTTTAGTTATGTGGCGGTATTACCTAAAAGCTAGGCTAGTGTCTGTGTATGTATATGTATGAAAAGGAACAAGCTACTAGAAAATTAACTTTCGAGGAAAAAAATATTATAAAGAGAGGGATACACTTTCCAATCATGTTTATACGTGTATATATATATATGCAAGGATTAGCATTTTTTCACAGCTAGAATTTAGATTGTAAGAACCCAAGGAACCAAAAATAAAAATCCGTAAGAAGTATTTCAGCAAATTTAATCCTCAAATTTTTAAACTTGTCAAGAAAACCTCACATTGCGAGGCCTAAGAATTGAGAGGATAGAAACAACTTCACTTGATCTGACTTAGAAACAACATATCTGGAAATGGTCTGTATTGGTTGGAGAGCCATTGCCGGCTGTGGTCTCCTTATGCTTTGCTCAGCCTTGTGCCTTACAGCACAGTTACCGTCAGCACCAGCGCAGAAACCTAACAGAGCTGCATTTCTGTCAGTATTAAAATTGTTTATACTGGTGTAGCTATTCCCACAAGGGAAGGAAAATAAACTCTAGGAGAAACCTACACCTCAGATTATATGAATACAATAATATCGATACAGAACACTACATATCTAATTGCTGCAAATCATACAAAAGTCTGTATTTCACAATATACTTTTTGCATCCAGGATTTGGGTCTGTGTTGTGCTTCTGCAGCCCTCACTTATAGAAATTAAGTAATTTGTACCATATTGAGGTGGTTGCTCTGGAAACAAGCTACAATTTCATGCTGTTTAGCAGCAAAAGCCACTGAGCTCCAAGATGAGCAGTGTTATCAACTCTGTTTGCATGTTTGCTGAGGCCAGAGAACTTCAGTGTCACAGGTTTTAATATTTTCCTATTTCTTGGCCATTCTGTGAGGGAGTCTGATGAGGAGCTTGTAAAAGACCTGAGAAAACACTGGAACCCATAAATAGCTATCACAAAAGGAATAGGAATAAGAAACCTCACATGGGCCAGAAAAATGGTACCAGACAACATCTGCCTTTGCAACAGGAGTGGGGGATAGGGTAGGCAACTACAGAAGGCTCCAAATTCTGCACCATTTCCCAAAGCAGCACTTCCTTGTCCACTCTCCCCTTCTCTCTCCCCCAAGTCTGTGACCTCTGACAACGTCCCACTTTGCAGCAGACGACTGCCCAGTTCTTACATATTCTTGTTATGAGCTCACTGTTTCACCAAGCCATCTATCAAACAAGTCGCAACTCAAAGCGGACCCTGCTTACATAGTGTCATCTATCAAACAAGTTGGAATTATTTGCACACTCAAAGCGGACCCTGCTTACATAGTGTAAAGTAGTGAATATCCTAACACCCAAGAAAGCAGTGTTTCTTACCAGACTTTCATCTTGGCATTACACAGAATGAGCTGGAATCATCAGAGGTGCTCTGCTGCGCTTCCTTCTCCTGCACATCTGAATGTACAGGCAGAATTACTAAGGGGTGCCAGCCGAACAAGGGCAGGAACTTCACAGAATCAGAGTGGTTGAGGTTGGAAGGGGCCTCTAGAGATCATCTAGTCCGGCCCCCTGCTCCAGCAGGGACACCTACAGCACGTGGCACAGGGTGGCATCCAGGCGGGTTTTGAAGATCTGCAGAGAAGGAGACTCCACAGCCTCTCTGGGGAGCCTGTTCTAGGGCTCCATCACCCTCACAGTAAAGGTGTTCTTCCTCACATGGAGGTGGAACTTCCTGTGTTTCAACTTGCTTTACATCCCCTGCTCAATTGCCATTTCTTACCCAGACGCTTTCCCCACGGGCAGCATAAGGCATTAGCCCCTTCTCAGTAACGTGCAGGCCACCCCACGAGCCACCCGGCAAGACACGTGCCCGGGCAGCCGGCCTGGCAGCGCCCCAGGTCCCGCCTGGCCTACGTGCTGCCCGGGCCCGTGTCTTGCTGGGGAGAGGGAAGGCTGGGAACACTGGGACACCTCAGCATCCGGCACCTGAATCCCATCCAAACTAGCTCCTCGGCAGATGTCTTAAGCTACAGGGATTCTTCCTTCTTTTAACAGTGTAGGACCTCTCATAAACTCCAAGGCTGTGATGAAGCCAACTGGATCTGTGCACTTGACAAAAAGGTAAAAATGAGGGCTCAGAAGCCATCAGGATTCCAGTTTTGTGTTACATAGCGCTGCTTGCTCTGCATCACAGCCTGGCCACTGCCAACACTGCTGAACTCGTGCCATTTTTAACTGCTTGGAGGCTGTTCTTTTGCCCTAAATAAACTTAATTACTCCCTTAATTAATGGGTATTTTAGCATCCATAAGCAGCCATAAAACAGAAGATTGAGGCCTCAGCATAACTGCAGTGCCAGTAGAGCTTTACAGGAATCATTTGTTATATTTCATTAAATAGCAAAAATAAATTGCCCATATGCACTTTGTGTAAAAGTGTTCACGTATGATTTTCACCATTAATGCAGATGCAGATAATCAGAGCTGCAGTTCCTGCAGCAACCTAGTTCACATTTCCAACAGTAAGGAAAATTGCTGTTAACTAGCAATATTTGGCAGTTACTAGTTTAAAATAGCTTTGAAAATTATCTTTAAAAAAGCAAAAACCTAGTTTTTCTCTTAAAAAAACTAGGTAGGAGACTCAGGGGGTCCAGTATCCTGGCAAGAGGAGAGGGCAAAGCAGGCAGCTACGAGAGGGCTTTCAGAGTGCTAGGCCAGTATCCTTTTTAGGATGCAGAGATATTTATAGGGTCCAGGCTCTGCTTGAACTCCTGTGGGGTGCAGCATCAGCAGATCAAGCAGCGACAACACAGGCTGAAGGCAACAGGGAGAGCAGAGGAAAACCAGCAGCAGAACACGCCACAGACAAGCATGGATAAAGTGAAGGAAAGCATCACGTTCAGTCCAGGAGGAAACTTCGCAAGAAAGCTCATGTGTGCCAGAGCCATGGCATGAGAAAAATCAGACTGTTAAGCATGGGGAAACAGAACCATTTGAGCAACTGAACAGCAGCAATGCAGTAACAAAACCCTCACCGCCCCCCAGTTCAGTTGCTGGCTGTGATCGCCAGAGACACTTCTCCCCTGCACAGAATTATAAATTGTCAAAAATGTCTTAGGCAGATTTTCAGATAAGGGAGGGAATGCAGAACTCTAGTGCCGGGATCCAGCCTCAACTTTGTCTAAAGCATCTCAAGCATAAATACATAAGATCCAGAAAAGGCTCAGTCTCCAATAGCTTGATGAATGCAGAAACATTAAGCTTTCTTTCCATAATGTGCAAATGTGATTAACATGATAGATAAAGAGGTAATAATGAGTAGGGACATGCTTGCTTTTGCTACGTTCTTTCTTGCAACTTTCTTTACAGTGAATTTTCTTTAAATTTATGCTTTTGTCTTCTAAAACGCTACAGTAACTCCAAAATTGTGTCTTGTTCTCACACGGCCAAAGAATCAGGATCTTGCACTTTCTCCTTGTCCCTTTACCCTCCTTCCCCCTCTTAAACTGACCCCCTTTTACCCTAAAGAGCACGGAACAAGCTGTGTACTGCAAGGAGTTGCCTAAACTTGGTAATGCTTGTGATTAAACGGGCACAGCTCTTCCTCAGGGGGCAGAAAAGCAGCAAGCACAAGAAAAGCCCCTGGGCATACAAGAGGCGGGGAGGGGGAAGCGAGGGGGCCTTCAATTAGGTGCAAGGATGGAAGAGCAAAAAGCTTATGTTCTCCCACAACAAGCAAATGTTTGAAAAGGACACTCAGCTCCGACACCAAATTTCTTTGACTAGCTGGGTAAACTGCTGCCTCTTGGCAGAGCACATTGTTTCCATACTCAAGATACAAAAACTTCACCCCATCTAGAGCTCGCAGGTCAAGGGTCCCTGTGGTCTCACTGTCACAGACCCCACTGCTGTGTCTCAGCTGTTGGGTGCCTTTCCCTTAAATTGCTCCTTCTTTTCTGCTAAGTGCAATGCACATGAGCTATTCGAAGAGGAAATTCAGAAGTCTATTTGGAAAAAAAAAAAAAGAGAGAGCAGACAAGCTTTCTGTTTTATAGTAGATATACAAAATTTAAAATACATATTTTTTTCTGATCAACTTTAAAGCATTTTAACAATTACCTGCACTGGTTAGGTAAAAATTATTAAAAAGCATAATCATCAGGAAGAACATTTCAAAAGTGACATTTCATAGTAACATCATCTTTTCAATTAAAATAAAGGTTGTAATTCTAACATGTTTTCAAATATAGACTTAACTCCAAATATTAATTAACAGAAGAACACAGGAAGTCTCCCAAGGTTAGTCCTGGTCTGCAGCCAGCCTGAATTTTTTCGCATGTTCAAAAATGCATCAACATAGGGCTACTGGAATTGGACCCAGTGGAGAGCAGTACAGAGAAATAATATCATAATGGGAAAGTTTTTCCAGGGTAGAAGGATGTCTGGCATAGATTACCTTAACTAGGTAAATATAAAATATAGGCTTGCTGGTAACAAGCAAGCCTGGCAACAATCTCTGTATTTGCTTTTCTCACCGAACTGGGTGCTGTAAAGGATAAACCTCCCACTAACATCAGCTCACATTGTACTGACCCCTGTATACAGCCTCCCTCCCTCCTTTGACATGATTAAAATACAAATGCAGTTATACCACTAGAATATGTCCGATATTAATTTTGCCCATTAACTTTTTACACATCTTAAAAAGATCCAATAAACAGAACAATTCCCAAACTAATCATCCTCTATTAATATAGAGGATATAGAAAAAAAATTCCCCCCAAAAAATCCTGTGAAAAGATAACCCTTCACTCTCCGCACCCAAGATCCAAGACAAGAATCAATAGTTACAAACTGCATGTTGTAACAGTGACATTTACATTCAAACCCATGCCAAGGCACAGGCACTGTCCTCCTGCACCACGCTTTCTGGCCTTCTGATGTTCTTGCACAAGCATGGGCAGCCTTGATATGGATTTTCCCATCTTCCATCACACTGGATGATCTCGATCAGTTATCTAATTTAGTTTTATTGATTTCTTCTTCTTGGCTTGTTGTTTTGATATGGTACCCAGAGCAGTTTCTGAATTGCTTACTGATGGCTGAGGCAGGAGTAGTTTTCCAGACTGTGTTGGGTACTTGGTTTTCATAAGGACTTTAAACAGGGGCTGGGATAGCATATGCTTTAGTTGCTTTTTCATTCCCTTCAGCATTTTTTGCTTCTGGCTTTCTTCTTGCTCAGTAGCTTTTCCTCCTTTGGAGAGAAACCAAAGGTACAGAGTGTTACCACAAAATAAGAATTTGTATCAACCTGTTTCACAGATTTTCACAGATTTTTTTTTTTTTTTTTTAAGAAGCAGATACTAGTCTCAACTCTCTCTCCATCTCTCTCTCTCTCTCTCTCTCAAGAACATTCAGCTTCAACACAGCATCAATCATTGATGACTCTTGCCAGTCACTTAGGGTGTTCACAGAAAAACAAGGTCAAGAAGAATACTGACTACAGAATAACTAAGCCCTAGCTGACATTTTTCTGGTAACTCATTCCAATATTTCTCTTCTGGTTTGAGAGTCAAAGACTTAGGAAGAAAAGGAAATGGGACCCCAGTAGTTAAAGCTAAGAGCTCCTGCCCCCGGCAGGAGTTTTGTATGAAGGTTGTTACCTCGCACATGCTTCATTTTAGCATCTGCAGAACTGAAACAGTAACCTTTTCCTCCTTATCAAGCATATATGAAAAACACTGAGGTGCTCATGTTTCATATCAGAGGAGGAGAATGAGCAGAGGAGGAAAACAAGGCAGGAAAAGGCTGCAGTTAATGTGATCAGAGGCCTGAATATGAGAGAAAGGATGGAATCAAGGTTTGCTGTCCTATATATTGAAGGGACATTATTAAATCCATTTCAGAAGTATAAGCTGCATTTAATTCATGGTGAGCATGACTGAGATTTTTATTTGCCTGCAGCAAGCTATGGAAAAATTGGAGATCACTCAGTTAAGATTTACTCAAATCTTAAAGCAAGAAGCTGGCAAGATTCTGGATAGCAATTACAAAATGCCTAAGTCAAAAGCCACAACACACTTGGAGAGGAGGTGCAGTTTTGAAATCCATCTCAAAGCACAGAATCTCCAGAGTATGGAAAAAACAGGTATGGAAAAACAAGCAGAGAGCTTGTTATCTGAGAGAGAGCACTCCTAACAGTCTGGATAGAGCACAGACTGGTGCTTGCTTGGACAGGGGTCTGGAACCAGCTAACCCAGCCATGAGCAGAGAGAGAAAAAAAACAAACACATGGTTCAAAATTAAGGTATCTGTGTATTCTGCAGCTAAAAGCATAATGGCAGCTTTAGCTGACGTGACCTGGGCAGCAGTCCCTTCAGCCTTCAAATCCTTTTGATTCCCAGTATTAGCACCCAATGTAGCATTTCACAGTTCACCTAAGGAGCAGTGCACACCTTCACAGCATTCAACCCACAGGCAGGGCAGCAAGGGTCCTATACAGCCATGCAGGCTACTGCACAGCCCACAGAACGTTTCATTTTAAGATACAAATAATTATTATACCTCAAATAGTCGAGGATTCAGGTGGCATGTTGAACATATATATTGGTCATTTAGATTGCACAACCCAACCCACATAAGGCTCTGAGGATTTTTGTCAAGTGTTAGTGTTTCCTGGATGTTCTCATGCCCAGAGCTGCCAGGGTCCCATCCTGCTGCCTGACTAGAGGGCAGAAGGGGTAGGCAGAAGAGGAGAAACAACTTTATTTTCTTTGGACACAGAAGGAGTAAGACTCAAATACGACATACCAAGCTGTTAGTTTATCCCCAACTCGTTGCCAGAATTTAAGCAGTTCTTATCCTACACCATGTGGACTTGTCTGTGACTTGCCAGAATTGTTACACCTCACTCCCTCAGTTGCTCAAGTACCTACCACACAATCACCCTGAAAACACAAGCAATGACACCTACTACTGAGTAACAACACTCCTCCTGCATGTTTTAGATAGGGGAAGGCTTCTTCTGGACACCAGGGCCACAGGACCAGCTAAGTATACCCATAACCAAGCATTTCTACTTGCCCATAAGGACGTCATCATCAAGATCAATTTCAAGAGCCTCGGCAGCTTGCTGGAGCCAGGAGTTATGCTGCTTTGCCCGACTGTTGAAAAATTCAACTTTCTCAATCTGCCGTGCCAAGTTCATACGTTCCTGCAAGAAAAACATGTTTTAGGCATCCTGGGTAGATTCAAATGCTCAGCCCTTCTGTAGGATCAGAGTTTAAGAGCTTGTATTACAAAGCAGCTGATGTTACAGCCTCGTAGAGACACTCTTGACTGATCCCTACCACTGTGCTAGCAGACTCCTACATAAAAGCAGATGTCATTGCTTGCTAAATGTTTTCCTGCTTCAGAGCCTGGCTAGAATCTGACTTTTAAGTTAATTCAATGACTAAACATGCCTAAATGCTAAAGGAATCGGCACTTCAGAGACACCAGGTGCAAATCACAGTTCAGATATTATTCATTTTCAAGCTAATGTAATTCCATTGTACAGCTGGGTCTTTACCTTACCAACAGGGTCAGCCACAAGCTTCACAACTCTCTGAAGAATTAAGTTCCTGCAGGCCATACAGAAGGAGCTATTCATGTTTTCAGAAACACACCTGCCCACGATCAGGCACAGGTCAAGACGTCCTGTCTGTCTTCCCAGCTGCTTTCAGGTTGAATAGAGATGTCCAGCAACCTGAATCTGATCTGCAGCCTTCCAGCTAGGCCAAGTTGCCTTAAATCACTAGTCCATCAAGGAAAGAAAACCTTCACTGACAGTAAATGGGAATCAAGCCAGCAGTAAGTTCTGCTGCTTGGAGCTTGCCTTACACAAGGGTGCAAGACACCTTCACTGAATAATCAGGTGCTACATAGTAACATACAGAACAGTCAGGAAGACTAAACAGCAGAAACAGAAGAAATTAAACTTGGAGTTGGTTAATAACATGCTGTCAGTCAGTTCTTCTTGGATCCCTGCAAGATCTTTTAAACAGTGCTTTCACCTTTCTAAAATTGGGTCCAATTTTGGTCCCTCCTTCAGCATTTTTTTTCTAAGCGGAACAGAGGCGTGCAGAGTCAGAGAAGGAGTGTGCAAATGGAACAGACATTAAGACTCAACAGCACTATTAGTGTCAACTGCCATGGCTTTTGATTAAGTGCAAGTCCAAGAGTAAATGAGAGCTGACCCAGGGGGAAGGCCCAAAGGCTGTAATTGCAATTGCAAAGATTCGTTGCGGGCAAAAGGACCGCTCTGAGGATATGAGACACAAGTATGGAAACAATATTTATCCACCCACAAACTGCTAGTGTGTGATAAGAGCCAAGAACTACTCATGAAGAGGCATGGAAGAGACCTTTGAAGAAACAGTCTCAGAAGAACAGATTTGTTTTAGTGATCAGACACAAGTGGGGGAGGGGTAAGTAGGGAATGGGGAAAAAACCTCTGATGTTACTGAGAAAAAAACGACTGTGGAAATGCTTGTTTATCTTCCTGTTTTAGAAGGCGGCACAATATTTATATATTCCATCCCCAGCCAGCTTCTCTTCTAATGCAACACCTAAATATGCCCATTTGTGTATGGCTGCTGTCACCAAAACTATTAAAGACTGATGCTGAGATTTGAAATTTCCTCTTATGCAAGAAGCAGGAAGGCTGTGTATTGTTTTGGAAGTCCTAGCCATTGTTTATTTACATTATCTTATGAATCACTGTATGACAGAGTAAATTCTTCCTAATGCAGCCAGTATCCTATAAAAGGGGAACATCTGGTTCTGACAGGGCTGCTGTGGCATCATTGGTACAGGAACTTTAATGACTAAACTGTACAAAATAGAGTACAGATATTCACTTCCCTGTACTGCAGCTGGGAATCCAACCATATGAAACGCTATGTAACAACACTGAAGGAAAATGTAGATGATGCTTATGTCAGAACCCATTTATTGAGAAGAAATCACAAACATTACTAAGAAAAAGGTAAAGCGTGATATATTTGAATTTCAAATCCAGATCCTGAAAAGTAATTTCATCTGAAACTTGAAAAAGACATGATGGGAGAAAGGCTCTAATTTGAGTAAAGCAACTACTACTTTGACTGTTTTTTCATTACCTTTACAGAAGTCAGGTACTTGGTTTCAACTGGGAAGAACGGCACCTCTTCACTCTTCTCCAGGGTTTTATAAATTTTCCTAAAATTGATTAGGTCATCAGGACCAATCAATAATAAGCTAAGGCCTTCATGGGCAGCTCGGGCTGTTCTGCCACTTCTGTGTACATACAACTCGGATGTACGAGGAACCTGCGAATATTCAGACATGTCAGGAAACAGAATATGAGAAGTTAACAGCAGCTTATCAGGTTTTGGCAAAGATATCCTCAGATATTCTCAGACCTTTTGATAAACTGTCTTTTATATATACATGTATATATACTGTGCATAACAGAGCTGAACGTAAGAATGGAAGATACTGTCTAGAGACACCGAGTGCCCTGGTTTGCTCATCTGTGCATAACCTCTGTTGAGCCTTTCCTCACTTCAGACCTTCTGCAATTCATTTGCAAAACAGGAAAAAAAAAAAAAAAAGTGTGTCCTCAGATTACAGGTGTAGGTGTGAGTCATTTGACTCTTGGGGATATCAAAGAAAAATAAGAGATGTCAAAAGCAGGAAGAACTGTATCTATCAAGTTGCTTCTCATATGACTGTGCATTTATAACATGCATAACATAACCCACCAGTGACAGTCACTGCAGCAGTGAAATCCTTAAAACAGGCGCTATAGGGCAGTTAAAATAAAATAGGATTAAATCTCTATATGCAATTTATATAGGTAGGACAATCACAGCTTTAGAGGGTATAGGGTTTGCATCAGCAAGAGGAGGGTTCACAACCAGAATAGTAAAAGCAAAAACATTGGAAGTATCTAACCTGGTAGTGGATGACGTGCTGCACATTAGGGATATCAAGACCACGAGCTGCAACATCCGTTGTCAGGAGGACACAGCTGAGAAAGGGATAACATTTAACAAACATAAAATATAAGAGTAAACCATCTGCCAAAGACCATAAGATAGAGTGACCTTGAATTCTACTACAACAGTTTAAGAAACAGACTTGAGCTGCCTCACCTGCTAGAAGCTATTTGCTTGCCACTACAGAAAGCAATATCCAGTGCTACACCAGAGACAATCTTAAAACAGCAACTCTTAAAGAAATTATATAAATCATAAATTCTGCAAGTTTATTCTGCTTCCAATAATTGAACTCACTACCTCGCAGGATTCTGTTTTCCTGTGCTTTTGTCTCTCTCAGCTCACAGGAATTAGTGTGAAGCACTATTGGATGACCTAATCCCACTTCTCAGCAGGGAACCGTGCTTCCCTTATGGTCATTTTTCAGAGTTTTGCCCAAGGCCAAGTTTAAAATCTCATCAATTTGACATGACTGTACAAGGGATGATGCAGTTGATCAGTTGATCTTTCGGCAGGACACAGGGGCTATTACATGTTTTATCCAAAAACAAACAAACAAACAAAAACTACCATGTCATTTACATTAGGGATTTAACTAATGATTTGTTTGTGCTGAAATGCCTTCTATCAAGTTTCACCTTAAAAGGTTCTATTAACTAAAAGCTAGAAATACAAGGGGAGATTCTGTTTTGACAATTAGGGCTTCCCTCACCCCATACAAATGAATGAGTTCTCAAAAAAAGTCATTCTTTCATATAAAGTCTTTTACAGAGACAAGACTCTCCCTAGGGTATGCAACAATTTCTTTTAAAGAGTCTGCTAGTAACTGAGAGTTACTTGTACATAGCAGACATTCAAGATTTTATGACACCTGACTGCATACCCTGCAGCTACAAGGTTCAAAGCAGAAATAAGTGGAAAAAAAAGTCTATGACTTGCATTCTGAAGGAGACTGTGATAGACAGAACAATCTCTTCACATCTTGAAAAATTTGTAGATGTGAAAATGACCTGCCTGGCCTAGGCCAAGGCTATCAACACCACCTTTTGCTAACAGATAATGCCTATTGATCATAGAAATACTATCTCTTTTCTCTGCCTAGATCTATTACTGAGGTAAAAACAAATTCTAATGCAACAGAACAGCACTCAGTACCTACGGAGCAGTACTACGCCCTAAAGCTTCTGGTTGCGTAACACTGGGCCAGAAATTTGCACCCCAAAGGCCATTCCAACACCAGCATGAAACAACAACTTTGCAAATGGCAGGGCAGGCCCCTGCCTGGGCAGACCCACAAGTCCGCAGCTGCTGCAATGCTCAACAGTCCCTTCTCTCACATTGCTCAACGTAATGCAGCAAAAAGCAAATCGCCTGATGGTCTTCTCATGATTTAGTGAAATTAATCAATCTACAGAAAAAGCAAGTGAGAGCAAGCACAGGAGAAGCACAGGATGGTTGTATAAGCACATAGCTGACAGGAGAGCAGGGGACACATCCCTCAGCAGGACATATGATAACATAGGGTAATTCATGTCAAAAAGGACCTCAAGAGCTTCAGTGCTTGGCTGTCTCCACAAAGTTTCTTTGAATATCCAGTCTGAACCTCTCTGGTTTTGACAGCCACTGTCTCTCATCCTCCTACCATGCATCAACCCTTGAAAAGCCTGGTTTCTTGATAACCTTTCTTAGGATAATTGCACCTGCTACTAGGTGCCCCTAAAGCTTTCTCTTTTCCAGACTATATAAAGCCCAGCTGCCCCAGGTTCTACTCACAGAGCAATTGCTCCTCAGGCATCCTGGTGGCCCTCCACTGCTCATTATAACTTCTCTTCAATAATCCTGTGGAATGTCATCCTTAAGAAGAATAACCTGGGCTCATAAACCAGACAGGCATCCCCAGCCAACTCCCCAAACCCACTCCTCCTCCAACTCAGCTATTTCCTACCCCTCTTCATCTCTCATCCTTCCATATGTCTTAGTTTGCACTAGGAAGCAGAAAGTCAACTTACACCTCTCGCTCAGCAAACCTTTCCAGATTTTTTAGCCTTTGCTTCTGGTGCATGTTGGCATGTAAAGGAAGAGGATCACAATTTAAGATGGTGAGAAGAGAACTGAGTCGTTTTATACAGTCTATGCTGTTTGCAAAGACCATGGTTCTCCCCGGATACTGGAGGAGGAAGTAATAGAGATAATAGTCCTTCTCATTTGTATCACAGTGGATTCTGGTTTCTGTGAGAGTCTCAACGGTGGCCTCTTTCCTTGTCAAGTCTATCACTTTGGGTTTGCCCTTTATTCCTACTTTTTCCATTAACATTTCTAGTTTAGTCTTCTTGTCAATCTTTTTAGCATTCTTCTTCTGTAAAACTCTTGTGGGAGCTTGATGGACCAAAGTCAGTGTGGCAGAAAAAACAAATGTCTGACGTCGAGGGTTATATTGTGAATCATTTAACATTTCCAGCAACTGAGAGAGCTCTAAGAAATGACCTCTTTCAACCATTCGGTCTGCTTCATCGATCACAAGGCACCTGCCGAATAAAGACATACAGTACAAATAGAGTAGTGTAAATAAATATAAATCCGATTATCTTCAAAAGAACGTTTCCTGCTAAAGACATAAGAGCAGTTCTGCATATTAAGCCCAAAGGAACACCAGGTATGCCTGGGTAATTACAGTAGCCTTCCACATTTCTTAACGAAAAAAATCACTTTTTCATGTAACAATGAGATTTTTGTTAATGTCTCCAATTAGCATTTCTCTCTATCAACATAACCACTGTAAATTTCAATAAAATATTCTAGCAAAGAAAGAGTCATCTTACATAGTCCAAATTATTTTAGTAGTAAATAAACATAATCAGTGGTCAGTGATACCTCACAACTCTTTCTACACAGTCAGTCTGATGGCACCTTTACCTGAGCTGCCGAAGATTCGAGAGATGGGGGTGTCTCTCCTTAATCAGCTCCCACAGACGGCCTGGGGTTGCAATGACAATTTCTGGCTTCCGATTCAGTACACGCTCTTGCTTCTGTGCAGCCATGCCTCCAACAAGAATGGCAGTCTTAATGCCTAGAAGACATAAATAACTTGTCTCATTAATTTATCTGCAGAGTAGTGCAGAGACCCTACAGTAACTGTAAGCAATTTGTTTCTGAACTAGAAGTCATCTACTTGTGGAATCTCAGATATCACCATGGCTTCTTTCACCCTACTTCTTCAAAGAACACACTGGCCTTTGAGGAACTCTTGGCCACAACGCCTGATTCCTCCAAGACTGGAGCTAGCTCAGACTTTTCTTCACCACTGTTAGCTGTGTAACCCATGCTTTCAGACAGGGATTTGTTCAAAGACAGTTTGAGACAAAGTCCACATCAAAATGCATTTCCTCTCCCATTATAGCAACTAGACTTCACTTGAGCAGCACATTTTTTACATACAAACTGCATTGCACAGATCAGAACTGTACCACCATAAATTGATTATTCTTGGCTAGGAGTTAAAATTAGCCATGTCATCAGCTACAGACTGATGAGCACAGCAGGGTGTCTGAATGCCAAAGCAAGATGTGTTTAAGGTGTTCACTGCAAGATCTCTTCAATAATTACACAATCACTACTGTTGGAGACGGGGAAAGTTATTTCCCAGGTCTCCCTGTCTCAAAGAGTTTCAAATCCTTACTTATTCTAACAGCTGCACTGACTTTCTGTCTTGGAAAAAAGTGCAGCAGGACAGAATGCTTTCATCATTGTTACTTGGTGGAAATGCTGTAGCTTGACTTTCATAAAAAAAAGTCAGACAATCCAGCAATACCTTAAAGTGTCATTAATTTCCAATGTCCTTAAGATTTAGGGCATCATTTCTTATCTTGCATCATCTAAAACTGGGACAAAGTTATGTGTATCAGGTTACTGGTGGTTGGGTATCTAGTACTGATTCAGTGTTTCCAAAAGAACAGTCAAATAGTCAAACACAAACATGCTGGAAGAAACATTTTAAAACAGTATCTCACATCACCTGTACACTTCCATTTGCATTTCATTCAGAAGTCTTACTACATTTCTCAAATGTTAGGGAATAAGAATCGTAACTGCCTCAAAACTACCCTAATTTAATGCAAAAGAAACTGTGGCACAATTCATGGCACAACATCAGAGTTCAGAATCAAACCCAGCACAATCTGGGACACTGCCCTTGGGATCTTCATACCTGTAAATCTTGCAACTGCATCAATGTGGTGTTTTACTTGCACAGCTAATTCTCTTGTGGGAGTAAGGACCAGGCCTAAAAGAGGTTTCTTCCTATGGGAGCCAAGAGTTTGTGTCTTGTCCATAGAGTCAAATTCAGTATTTTTCGGCAACTTCACATGGCCTGTTGTGAAAGTTGCACCACCTTCATCTCCACTGTCTTCCGTCTGTTGGTGGGTTAATTCTTCTATTTCATCCTCCTCTTCACGGGACTCTCTGTCTTCACTGTCGTTCTTCCTCATGAAGTTGTTTGATTTTTGCCATTCCAGCACAGAGTGAATCATAGGAATTGCAAATGCAAGTGTTTTGCCACTTCCTAAGAAACAAAACAAGAGAGTTACACACCGACAGGACATTACATTTATTTGAAGAGAAAAACAGCAACTAATCACATCCTGCTTGTAAAACCAGATTTTAGAAAGATGTCATCCCTACAAAATCAGAAAGTAAGCAACAGCATCTTCCCTTGATATAGCTCCTTGAGGTCATCAACAGCACATTTCCTATGGAACAGGCATTTTTCCAATCTCTGGCAGGTCAGGCAGATTAATTTGTTCAGAAAGCAATTTTTAAAAGTCATAGGTGCAGCCAAGATCTTTTTAAAGAACCGTATGCCCGTAAGGAGAATACCATGCCCTAATTGACAGTTCTGATCAATGCTCTCCAAATAAAGGAACAGTAAATGAGGACAAGGGCAGACTGAAAAGTATTTGAAGGATTCACCTCCATTTTCAATTTATAGTATTGTGTTTACCACTTTTGAGAAGTTATATTTTGATCTACTTTATCCTCTACTTCTCTGATAAAAAAAAAAAAAGACCTGGTGATTTAATAATGAAAACGTATAAATTTGATCTAAAACATAGCATCCATGCTAGAGGGGGAAGGAGGAGCATTTCAAAGAAGATAAATTCTCCTCTAATTATAATTTTACGGGTTCACTGTAAATTCCCTTGAGTTACAGGGTACCTGAGTCATGTCCCTGGCACATAATCCCCTCTCAACTATCTGCCACTAACAAAAATACTATGTGAATCCTCACATCAACCCTAGATAAAGTCCTCATAAAAGTCCAGCTCACAACTGTGCCCAGTACCACAATCCTGACCAGTACTGCAGCAAAGTCCCCTTGTGTCTCTTTCCCATCTTTCTGCATGCCTGGGAGATCTCTTCTGACACTTGAAACAGAAGAGTTTATATTCTCCATTTGCAGAGCATTTACCTAACAGGATTCTGGCCCCTTAAGGGAACCCACAGTAATGTTGCATTACCAGAAACTCCACTAAGACAAGCACCAGTACTGGTCTTACACAGAAAGTAGTGCAATCCAGCTAGTGCAAACATGCAAGCAAATCTTGGTACCCATGGGTCTTACAGCTCAAACTGATTTAACATCTTTTAAACTGGTTTAGACTCTTACTGATATATATAATTTGGAACTTTAGCCCAGAACTTCACTAGTTGTTCAGAGTTGCCACATGCACTGAAAAGATGTGGCTGGATATACTACAAAACCAATAGGCCATTGCTACCACATTCAGACTTTGTCACCTTCCCCTGTGCTGCTAGCCAGGGAGGGAAGAAGGGAAGCTGTTTCAGTTCCCTTCCTCCCTGAGGCCAAGCACAAGGAGATCCTAACAGGCTTCTCCCAAATGCAACAGCTCCCAGTGTCTGCATCTGCCCTCAGGTTTCTGCAGGACCACGACGATCTTCTGGGCTCTCTGAAGGTAACTGATTTCTCTTGGAAAAGAACAAAGTAAGAGAGCAAAACACAGTCCTAGTAACATAGGATTATGCAAAATTCGAAGAGCAGCAGAGATGGATGGGCACATCCTGCTACTAACTGCACTTTCCATTCTGCAGAAAAAGCTCCAGTGCTCCAAAAAAGGCACCTTTTTGCAGCACAAAAAAGCATCCTTTAAGTTTTCAGCTCCATTTTCTACAAACACTCCCTGTAGGGCTCTCTAATCTTATCAGCCTAGCTTCTAATTAAAATAAAAATGCAACGACTGCATATCTTCTTAAAATCAGTTACTATACCTTCATGTTCAAGAGCAATAAATGGCTTTACAAGATAAGCAGTGAGTTAAGGCAACCGGAACAGATTAAATGAATGCCAAAATGACTTCAAATTATTGTGCTTCACAATTCTGCTTCCTATTTTTAGTTTTCTATGGGACAAATATGCTGAACTAGTACTGAAGACAAAACTTCAAAGGTATCAGCAGCAGAAAAAAAAAAAAAACTCAAAGGAAAAGTAATGTTCACACCTTTCACTCTATTGTTAAGGTAACAACAAAGCCACCACTATAGTCATTAAGGTGAGCAATGCTTGAAGAGAAAAGCATGAATTGACCACAAAGTGGAATCAAGATATAATTTAAAGTTAATGGAACAAACTAATGTTCAAGCACAAGCAGTAAGAATCACTGCAATTGGCAAACACACACATGCAGAGAACTAAAAGGAGGCAATATGAAGGCCCGTTTTGCTGCAATAAAGGCACAGGCCATGTTTACAATATCTAATGCTCTGTGCCCAGTATCTCCTATTCCCAGCTCTAAGCAACTACTCCATCTTCTTCAGAGGAACTTCCACATCATACTTTGAAAGGACTGAAATTCTGTATCATATAAAAACCAAACATAATACACACCCCCTTTACAGGGAACACAATACGTAGAAGCTACAAGCTCTTTTCCTACATATGAAAACCCTGGCTATGTTCTTCGCGCTAGGAGAACACTGCAAACTCTACCTGTTTCTGCAGCGCCAAGAACATCCATATTATCCCGGATGGCGGAAGGCAAGGCTAGTGCTTGGATAGGAGTTGGAGCACTGAACCCCAGGTAACTCAAGGCCTGCAGCACTGGTGCAGGCACAAACAGGTCCTTCCAGGCAGACACATCAGCTTTGTGATCAGCTGAGGCAGACAACACTTTTGTTGTCCAATTTTTAACTTTTTTAGAAGTAGCTACTGATGAAAGAGATTCCTGAGTTTGAGGAGCCTTCTGTTTAACTCTCTTGTTTTTCTTCTTCTTTAGAGCATTTTTTGTGCTTGATATATTCTCAGCCACATGTCCATGGTCCTCACGGTTTTCCTCTTTCACCACTTCTTCACACGCATCCTCTTCATCAGCTGGCACATCCACTTCTGCTCCTTTAGAATCTCCGCTTGTGCTTGTAACCGCTCTGGTACTCAAAGCTTTCTTTTTCTTTCTCTTTTTGGGAGAGATGACAGGCTCTTCTTCCTCGTTCCCTTCTTCAGAAACATTATCAGCCTTTCTCTTCTTCCCTTTTATTTTCCCTACTTTGGAGGAACTCACCAATTTATAGTCCGTGAGTTCCTCCAAGCACACTATGTCTTTAAACTGCTCATCAGCAAACAGATTGGGATCAATTTCCACACTTTTCCATTTTCCTAGTACTTCAATTCCTTTTTGTTTCAGTTTAAAGGAAGGTCGAAATTTCTTTTCCTTTTTTGCCTTCATTTTTTTCCTTAAAAAACAAAATAATCAGAATTACATTGAAGATATCCAAACAAAGAGAAATGCAAAGCATATTTTCCCTTTCTTAGCAATGTAAATATGAATGGTCTTAAGTACAACTGCAGAGGAGCAAATCTACATTTTGCTCCTCCTTCAGCATTGTTGGCAAACATCTATTTTCCACTCTGCAGTATTCAAAACAGGTGCAGTAAGCAGCCCCTGAAATTTATTTGATAAGTTAGCACTAATTTCTTTAAACCACATTTTGCAATTATGCCTACATTTTAGCAGTTATTTGTTTCTCTCTCTCTCAAAGAAAATAATAAAATGGAGACAGCATTTGAAACTTCAGCAAGGTGAATTAACAAAATCCGCAAGAGTGGCAAAGCCTTTGAGCATAGACCTTCGCGGGTGCTGCCTTCATACCTTGGCAGAGGGAAAGGGATGCAAGAATGAGCACAACGCTCCCCCGCTGACTGCAGAAAACACAGTGACTAGTTCGGGGCTACAGGTTCCAAAACCAACCACTATACTACGCACTTAGCCTTTTTTAGTTAAGTTTTACTTCTGGACTAGCACCACAAACCAACCCAATTCCGCAAACACGGCCCGTCCCCACCGCAGCGCACTCCAGCCTGTGGCCACGGGCAGGACCGGGCCCAGCCGGGAACCCCGGTGCTGCTCCGTCCCCCTCGCCGCGCTG